GGGCAACACAGTGAGACTCTGTCTCAAAAAAAAAAAAAGCAAACGGCTCACAATTAATAGTGCTTTACCCATTCAAACCAAATTTACGATTTCTCTCTTTGCTAGTCCTGCGTGTCAGACATGTCGACAGTTCTCTCTGTTAGTGAGCAGGGACCAAGATCTCACGTAAGAATCCCAAACGGCCTGAGGAAGCCCACGCAGCAGCCGACCTTCCCGAGCTCCGCCAGGTGGGTGGCGGCAGGAAGGCCCTGCGAGCAGGACTGGCACCGACTAGTGTCGGCAGGCACACTGCTCCCGAGGCGAGGCTCGGTCTTGGCTCGAAACAGACAAGAGGAACAAGGAAAGTCTGGTAAGAAAGCAGGAAGGAGAGAGAGGAGGGCTCAGGTCGACGGGACTTTCTGAATGAACCTGAGGGACGCTGAGCACACGGGAACGTGGAGACGGGGTAGGAGGCTGTATCCTACACGGTGTAGCCACCAACAGCTTTGGGTCGGGTGCTACGTGTTATCCTATCGCAGTGTCGAAAATGCCGCTTTGCACACGGCAAAAACGGACTTTTTCCGACCTTGGGGACAGAGAGCAGAGTTGACCCAGAACTCAGAAAAGACACGTCTGTTAAACACACTCCGGCGCCTCTTGTCTGTCACCAGGCTGACCCCAAATAGAAGACTGAGCACAGGAAAACATTTCTTATAGAAGAATATGGGTCAATACATTCACAGACACACCTTCATTCTCTTCACAGAGAAAGGAGTAAAGGATAAGAAGAAAACAGGAAACAGTAGCCGACTTCATCATTTTATCGAGTGCTAACTTTAACTTCAATTCTATAAACACAAAAATAAAAGATACGGAATGTGCTTATCTGAGGAACCTTGTAGCCGTATGGATTTAGTGGAAACAATAATGTCTGTTAAGTTTCAGAAAATAAATTTATATATAGTTTTTCTGATGGAAAACTAGTAAAATAATTATGGAGCTGACAGCAAGCAGCTGTTAGAGGTCACTGGACCCTTCTGAAAATGAATTATGTCCACCCAAGACTCGTCTGTTTATTCTGTAAGTTAATTATGCACTTATTCAGAAATTCAAAGGAACCACGGCAAGAAAACCCAAGACTTATACGAGAGAGAGAATGTAAAATATTTTAGGCTACTTACATTATTACAATAAAATGCATAGAACACTCCCGAGACGTAGCAGCCCAGTATTCCAATAGAAATTCCTGCATAGTCCAACGCCATCCACCTTCGACATGTTTTTTCCGACCGATGGCAGGAAAACAGATGATAGCCCACAGAGCAAAGCATGCAGACCTGCGGAGAACGAAAACACGCCTTAACAAAGGGAAACTGAAAGAAATGGAGTCACGCCTGGCTGATGTGCAGAGAAGTGGTTCTATTAAAGTCAGGACTCCAGGTCAACCCCACCTGGGCGTGGACTCCAGCCCGCTCTGTGCCTTCCAGCAAGGCAGGCTGGGTCACTTCTCTGAGCCTCAATTCTCTCACGGGTAAAATGGGAATAACCACCATAAAGAAGGAAATTTAAAGTGACAGCTATTTTATTAATACAAAAATCATTTTAACATAAATGAATAGCACAGTAATGGGAACATTATACCATGCATATGTTTAAGAACATCTGAGGCTTACTTTGATCCATGAATGAGTTTCCTTTTAAAAAGTATTTACTATGGAAGTAATACATGTCCTTAAAAAAAATCAACGTAGAATTGTATGATGTAGAAAATATACGCCCCTCCCACTCGATCTAGTTCCCAGAGGCAGCCACTGATGACATTGGTTGTGTGTCTTTCCAGATATTTCGATGCATGTCAAACACCTGTGATATAGAAGTCTACACACACATGCACACGTGATAAATACATACATATTTTTTGAGAGACAAAGTCCCACTCTGTTGCCTAGGCTGGAGTGCAATAGTGCTACAATAGCTCACTGTAACCTCGAACTCCTGAACTCAAGTGATCCTCCCGCCTCAGCCTCCCAAGTAGCTGGAACTACAGGCACATGCCACACCTGATTTTTAAAATTTTTTGTAGAGATGGGGTCTCGTTATGTTGCCCAGGCTGGTCTCGAACTTTTGGCCTTGAGTGATCCTCCCACCTCAGCCTCCCAAATTGCCAGGATTAAAGGCATGAGCCACTATGCCTGACCTATATATATATTTTCATTCATCAAATGGAATCGTACTACATATTTGGTTCCACAATTTGTTTTCACTTAATTTAAGAATTTTCATGTCTGTATGAGATTCGCTGTACACACTTTAAGTTCTAAGGAAAACACAACTTTATTGTTTCTAGGAAATCATGACTTGCTGCCTCAGTGGGAGCAAAGCTAATCTGACTGGCCCGGCTGCTCTGATGACTGACGGGGCTTCCGCTGCAGAACTCCCTTCAGACAGCAATGCCTGCTGTGGGTCACACGCTGCAGGCGAGACAAAGAGGAAACCTCTGCTCTCAAAGAGATTTTCAAAATCACATGAACGAATAATGCAGTGAGAAGTCCTATAGAAAAGTCGGTGTGGACGGCGACCAGAAAACTGAGGTGGGAGGACACTGGCTGAGTGGATGGATGCCTGCATTTGGGGGAGGAGAGCACCACAGAAGGGCTGTCCCGAGCGAGGTCGTAAGAGGTCCCGGCATTCGCCAGCGACATAAGCAAAGGTGTGCGCCTGTGTGCTGGGTGGCGGAGCACAGGAAAAGCAGCACACTGAAAAACAGAACCAGTGAAGAACGCCATGATGCGTCTTCATAACACGATTCTGCCAAGTCCTATGTACCGAAGGGCTTTAACTTCACTGTCACGGGCAGGGCCTGGGACGACGGAGGACTGTAAGTGCGGAGGACTGTAAGTGCGCCCGCACACAGGTGCGGCCTGGGAGGGCTGGCGTGGTCGTCACGGGAACAGCCCTGGGAGCACGGGCGAGAGCCTACACGCTAAGGCAGTGACAGTGCGGGTGGAGAAGACGGGACCAAAACGGATGAAGCGGGTCCAATGTACACACTTCGTAAACAGTGACTAAGGCAGTGGACGGTCGTCCAGCTACTCCACACTCTGGCCATTACCCAGGCCTGACCAACTCCCACAGACTCGACGTCAACATTCGGTAGCAATGTGCTTCACCGCAACTCCATTTCTGCGTCCACTGCCCCAAATCCTCACTGATCGGCAGCTTTCTGGCTGCTAAGCAACCGACCCAATTAAACATAACTCTACGACGCCTGCTTACTGTTTTCTCAGATTACCGTTGAGATTAAGCACCACAAATCAGGAGAACCCAAGGTGTGTATTCTGATGGGGAAAGAGCCCACGAGACCGACACAGAGCAGGCCATAAAACCGCAGGCGGGGATGGCTGCACCTCAGAAGGAGGCGGACAGGTGGCTGAGCAAGCAGGTAGGCAGGCATGAGATGACCACGACACCCAACCATCTGGAGGAGTTTTAACCCAAATGCCAGACATGGTGACCCCTGGGAAATGGAGTTTCAAGTGTCTCTCACGTTCCTCCATAAACTTTACTGTTTCAGAGACAGTCTTGCCCTGTCACCTGGGCTCGAGTGCAGCGGTGTGATCACGGCCTCCACAAACTTCGGTGTTCGCCTGAATTTCTACATGAGTATATCTCATAGTAATATTAATAATCAGGAACAATGATAAAGCTCATCTCATCGTGAAAGGGGAAACAAAAGAGGAAAGAGAAAAATTATGGTATCAAAGGGAAAGTCAAATAAATAGTATTCACAGAAAGCCCCAAGTTTTTAAACAGTTAACCTATTTAGTATGCTCTGTTTAAAAAGGAATGTTATTGCTGGAGATCCTTAAGAAAAAGACTGAAAAATTATCTTTCAGATTGAGTATGTTCCAGTTATAATGGAAGGTTCCTTCTATGGACCCTCTCGCCTCATCGTGGTAAACAGACAATTACAGTTTGTGTCCTACATCGGAGTTTCTTGGCATGGTGAGAAAACGCCTCCTAACCTGGCCCCCGCCAGCCTCGCTGGCCTCACCTTTCTCCGTTCTCCTAGGATCCAATCACAAAACCAGTGCCTGTAAGTCCAGAAAGTGCTGTCTCTTGCTTTTGGATCTTTACACAACTATTTTTTTCTGCTTAAATGCCTCAGTTTCTCTTCTGCTGCCCCTACATGGGTGACTGGGTCTTTACGGCATGTTGGTTTAGTTCAGTTCCTTATCACCTCATCTAGCACAGCGCCTGGATGTAGACAAGAGGCATTCAACAAATATTCGCTGAACTGCATGTAAATGGACTGGATCTAGTGAAAGGTACTCTCGTAGTCTACTCTTCTTCTCCAAAATAAAAATACCCTTGGGAAGGTTCCAAGCCCCTGAATTATATTCTACTATACAGAATGTATCTACCAATCTGGTTGGGAGGAAAGCACTGAGCACGCAGACTGTGTAGGAGTGAGAAAAAATGTTATATCGTTTAAAAATTAAATGTAAATCAGTATTAATAAATATACTTATGGTTTATTATGTTGCCTTTTATTTTTATCAAATAAAAAGAAAAGAAAAAGAGGCTGGGCGCGGTGGCTCACGCCTGTAATCCTAGCACTCTGGGAGGCCGAGGCGGGCGGATTGTTTGAGTTCAGGAGTTTGAGACCAGCCTGAGCAAGAGTGAGACCCCGTCTCTACTAAAAATAGAAAGAAATTATTTGGACAACTAAAAATCTATATATAAAAAAAAAAATTAGCCGGGCATGGTGGCTCATGCCTGTAGTCCCAGCTACTTGGGAGGCTGAGGCAGGAGGATTGCTCAAGCCCAGGAGTTTGAGATTGCTGTGAGCTAGGCTGACGCCACAGCACTCTACTCCGGCAACAGAGTGAGACTCTATCTCAAAAAAAAAAAAAAAAAAGAAGTAGTCTTTCTAAGCAGGCAGACGTTCTCATTCATCTTGAGCAAGGTGGACAGCATGTAACAGAAAGATCACCGCCCCCGCGGTTAGGACAGGACTTTACTGTCCTGCTGAATAGTCCTGGGCAAGTCACTGTAACACTCTGTTATTGTTTAATCCTTTAATCTTGCAATGTACTGTTTTCTTAGGCCAATGTGGCAATTAGTACGTTTTCTCTGAACTAATTGTGGCAGATGGTGGAGGGATGCAGGGTGGGCTGGGGTAGAAGCTCAGAGAAGGTAACATCCATATAACCAATTGGAGAGTATAAATCAGTTTCACTTATTGAACATTATTAAGAGTATCTTAGTCTAGGCTAAGACACATTTAAAAATTTACCTATAAGAAACGGATTCACTTCTATTATAAAACTAGACATGGATTCTAAGAGATGTGTTGGCTCTAATCAGGACAAAAATTAAACCTCATAAAGAGTATACTTTCAAACATACTTACAGCAAAAATAATTTTCTAGTGACACAAAAATATGGAGTATTCTTTCCCTCAAAGAAATTCAAAATATTATTCCAGAAATTGGAATTAGGGAAAAAAAAAAAAAAAAGGAAGAAAGATGGTTCTGATGTATTTCTTGGTCATTTAGGTCAAAGTTTTGAGTAAAACGATGAAGTTCTGAAATAGAATGATGTGCAGTGAAAGCAGCATCCAAGCAGCTGATCTGCAGGTTCACCTCGCAGACCGCGCAGTAGCAGGTTGACTGTGGGGAAGAAGGGGGATGATAGCTTTTTCTTATGTTTTTTTAATGTTTTTCTTTTTATGTTTTTCTATACTCTCTGCATTGAAGAAAAAACTAAATGTCAACAGGAGTATGGCCCTCATTCGTTTTCCGCTTTAAAATTATGTTTCAAAAACTACTAAATGTAACGTTTCAAGGCATTTTTAAAGACCCTTGAAGAAAAATGCAAATGCTATGGAACCAACACACACACAAGAGGAAGAGAAACTGAAAGTATTCAAAACCAGGCAACTGTCAAAGGATCAAAGGAAATTAACAGTAAAGCGACAGCACAAAAAAAAAAATCAATGCCAGCAAAGCGGGACAGTAAAACAAAGATGTTACGGAAATAACAGATACAGAAATCACAGGCATAAACGGGAAAAAGAGGAGAAATCGTCCCTAACAGGATTTAAGTAGATACTGATGTTCTGCTTCGGCCAGACAACAGAATAGGATCAGAGATTCACGTCCTTGTTAATCTCAAAGCAGAGACACCTGACAAGGCAGAGAGGCAAGAGTAAATTTTCTCAATCTTTGAAACTTAACAGATTTCAGAAATACCCTCACGGTAACAGACGTTTCTGGTGTTTATGTTACGAAAGTGCCACCCTGAGGGCTCTCTAAAGAAAGGTGACCTGGCCAAGCCGGATGAAATTCCTCTTTACCAAGCACAGTTTCTGTACATACCTGGAAGCAGAAAAGGCAAATGGAGCAGATCACAAAATCTTCTCTGGACGCGCTCGCTGAAGGCAGCACCGACGTCATGTCGTATATCCCCAGGGTGAAGAAGAGGAAAAAGCCCAGCAAATGACTCCAGATGTTGACCGTCTCATTAGACAGAATAAACAGACTGGAAAGCAGACAAGCACGCGACTCAGATTCCTGCTGGCTTACGGTCAGCATTCAAAGGTTAGGGACGGTTTTGGGGAGTTACCAAATACTTGTTCCTTTAAGCTCTCACCCCATCTGCACCCTCCTGAGTTTGATATGTTATTTACATTAATCAATCTTTAACTTTTCCCACAGCTCCACCAACCCTGGGATCTAGAGCTTTTTTAGTGCTCGCTTCTATTATCATAATTACCACTTCCTTGTTCATATTAGAGTTATTTACACATAAATTCCATTTCATCCTCCAGTCTACCAACCCACTGATGGCGAGCACCATTCATCTTTATGACACCATTGTTCCAAGCACAGCGCCTTGCTCAGATTTGTCTGCAGACGAAACGCCTGCAGAAAAGAATGTGCAGATGAAAGCCCGAAGTTAGCTAACGCGCTTTGTCAGTAATAGCTGTCTGAAAACCTGCTCAGTGTAAGGCTATGCATAAACTTGAAATACTTTAGTACACATTAAATCCAAATGCAAAATTAAATGGACTTAAGAGCAGCAGAATAAATACAAATTTATCCACTGGTAAGTTTCTTTAAGACGGACATGCTGGAACAACTTTGCTATGGATGTTTTGAAACCACACTAGTTTCCAGGTGGCATAAGTCTACTCTTTTTAGGAACAACAGGACTTTACTTTTAATATGGGTACTATCTGACCTCTTTCAAAAGTCCCTGGCTAATTGGTCTGGGCAGCACAGGTTAGTGGAGAGTCTCCACCCTGAGCAAGTCGCTTGACCTCTGTGGGCTTCAGTTTCTTCATCTACAAAATAAAGGCATTGGATTAGATGTTGCTCCAACTTTCTCCCAGCTCCGTCCTTCCTTTTGTGAAATGGTTCTCTAGATGTGGATAGGACTCATCTGATTATTTATCGAAGAGTGATACGAATAACGATTAAAATACTCCTGCAAAATATAATCTTTTTGCTTAAACTTAGGTCTTGCATCTGCGCTGGTTCAGAAGTCCTTATAATAAGCACTGACATACGACTCTAACCTACTGAACCGGCAACAGTTGCCATGATTGATTCCAACTTTCTCGTTTTCACAAGTGATAAACATAGCAAGGTCCCCAAACTATTAAACGACCATCAAGCATAGAGTGAATTTTGTATTTTGAGTTTCAGGCTTTGTCGTGTGTGAGCATCAAGTGTGAAGACTACTCGTAATTAGGGGAGGAGACGCCCACATGTGCAGGGAAACAACAAACTACAAGGCTGTTTCGACAATC